CATGGCTCCTTCTGGGCGAAGAACGGCGTCGATTCCGTTGACGATGCAACAACGGAAGTCGACGAGAATGAATGTCAGATCTATGGAGATGTCAGCAATCTTCCATCGGTGCTGCCTTCCTCACGCTCATCTTCAATTAAAAAGCTAGGGGTTACAAAAGATGACTGCATGTGGTTGAGGTGTCTTGAGGCTACCAAGAAGGGATTTGCTATCGACATGGGGATCAAGGGCGATCATGCACTTTTCTCTATACTTGCTCGACTGAGGAGTCGTGGAAAGAAGAGTGTCTATGTGAGAAAGGTGGGGGCGGCCACAAATGGGGCGGCACTGCTGAGCGCAGCAAAAGAGACATTTAGATATGGTTTATTTTTTGGGACCTTTGCTAGAACTTTTGTTTCTGTGGATGAATTGATTGTTGTTATTTGGGGGCACAGAAGAACTGTGGGATGTAGAGCATTGCTTGCAATTGTTGTGGTCGGTCCTTCAATACTCCTAACAGGACTGGAAACACAACGCAGCAGTATGGTTGTTTATATATTGATTCATGCTCTAATGTTTTGGCATTTAATTGAGTGATAAAGCGCCAACATTTTAAAACTGCATGTAAACCTTTGACTTGGTCACATGTGATGTATTCATTATGTGACTCTCTTCAAACCAAATCCTATATGTTTATACTTTAAAGAATAAAACCTCCCGTCCTCATATAAAACATTTCTTAATAAGCATGGTACAAAAGTTGCTCCTATTCTACAGGATGTTAAAGAACTTGCGACCAACCCACAATTTATGAACTGGGATGTGATAGAGAAACACTACAAATCTATGGGTTCTAATCTAAAACTAGACCCAAATATGAAAGTGCCTTGCTCAATTGTTCACGACAATCATTCATGTTGCAGACTCTCCTCCAGAGTTTTTTCCCACAGCAGGTAACAGGCCGTCCTCTGGAGTTTTTTCCAGCAGTAGACCCTCCTTTAGAGTTTTTCCCAGCAGCAGTCCTTCCTCCGAAACTTTTTCCCTGCACCAGACCCTCCTTCATAGCTTTTCCCTATGACAAGACCTCCTCCGGAGCTTTTCCCTGTTGCATGTCCTCCTCCGGAAATTCTTTCCTGACCCTCCTCCAAAATTTTTTCCTGCAACAGGCCCTCCTCCGGAGTTTTTCGCTGCAATAGGCCATCCTCCGGAGCTTTTTCATGCAACAGATCTTCCTCCGGAGCTTTTTCCTACAACTTGTCCTCCTTTGGAGCTTTTTCCTGCAGCAACCCTACCTATGGAGCTTTTTCGTTCTCTACAGGTCATAGCTTACAACTTTTCTATGAGTTATCTACTTCCCTGCAAACTCTGCCACAACATTACCTGAAATAACCTTCCGCCTACTTACAGACACTTGAAGAACTACAATCAAAGATAATTACAGTCAACTAAAAGTCAGTTTTTCTGCAGACCACGTTTTCCTGCAGATCGTCTAATTTCATGCAAACTACTCTGAAGCATTATCTATAGGAGCCCTCTGCCAATTTGCAAACATTGTAGGAATTGTAGTCAAAAGCAACCACAATTGTCTATTTCCCTACAAACTCCCCTGCAGCATTACTTGTAGGAGTCTTCCTCCTACCTAGAGATATTGCATGAACTGCAGTAAAAAAAGCCGCAGTACGAAATGAAAACTTCAAGTTTTACTTAACAGGATCTACCTAGACCAATGTTTGATGTATTCAAATCCAACTTGAACATGGTTGTTAACCAGATTCCAACTTGAGGGGGAGTGTTAGAAGTTATATTAGGAAATAATTTATTTCTGTTTGAAGTTATGAGGATTAGATTTATTTCTTAATATAACTTTATTTCCTGGCATCATAGATTTATTTTCTTGAATTAGATTTATTTTCTTTTATATTTTAGGCTTTCTTATTTTATGTTGTTTTCATTATATCCAAATAATTAATATTAATTGATTAATTGGAGATCTTAAGTGTTATATCTTTCATTTCATGTTATTTCTTTTTTATTGTCTTTCATATTCTAGGATTCATGTAAGGATTATTTTATACCCCCGTTTATATCAATAAAAATTTTCCCATTTAGTCTGAATTTCAACAATATGTACTCTATGTTGACTCCTAGTTAATGATAGCCAAGATACCTTCACAGTATATGGGGCATTTACACACAACACAAAATTCTTATGTATTTACATATCTCACACATAAACTTTCATATTTACACACAGGAATCAAATCTTTAATTTTAAATAAAAAATAGTACTATCACCGCTTTATAAAAGTTAAAAACATTTTTTTCATGCATGGGTTTAAATAACCAAAGTGCTATGTGTGTAAATATGAAATTTTAGGTGTGGGATATGTAAATACATAAGAATAGTGTGCTAGGTACATAAATTTCCAAATTATATTCATATTAATGGGGATAACAACTTTGTCAGGTAATTAAAAAATTTTGTAAATGAAATCACAAATATATCAACTTAATCTTTCCATAATCAATGAGGCACTAAAACTTTCAGCTTATCTCCGCACCTGAAGTTGAATCTCTCGCCGCCGGACCAAGCCAAGCTTGAGCAAGAACAGATGCTTGCAGATGTTCTTCGCCTGCAGGAGATGTTCCGCGTGCTTCAGCAAGAGCGACTTGTGAAAGTTCTTCTTGAAGAGCATGAGCAATAATTTCATCATTTTCAAAATTAGAGCAATCAAGAGCAACATTGCATTGAGTGCTGTACGCCGCTTGGTAAATGTTGGCATCACTGCGAATTGTTCCCTCGCCATATGCACTATTTAAGAAATCACCTTGAAGAAGATGAAGACCCCATCGAAGAACATCGGGATCTTGGTCATACATGATCATCAGCTTAGAAGAGATCAAGATACTGAAATAAAATCAACAGAGTGAAAGAACTTTAGAGATCAAGTGGGGCAGATTAGCATTTCTTAAAACAGCATTAGAAAAAAGGGAAATTTACATATGTTGCACATAATTTATAAGTATTTACATATCTCACAACTAATTTTTCATATTTACATATATAACATTTTGTGCTTTAAAGCTATGTATGAAAAGATGTATTTCACATTTCAAAGTAGTAATAGTACTATTTTTTATTTGATATTAAACATTTGAGAGCTATGTGTGTAAATATGAAAGTTAAGGTGCGAGATATATAAATACATAAGAACTGTGTCCTATTTATGTAAATGCCCCAGAAAAATTAGCCTGCAGCTAATTATCTAAACGAATGTGCAAAATACTACATGTAGATGTTTCAAATCTCAAGTTCAAAAAAAAAAAAAAAAAAAGAAATAAAAAAAAGTTACTGATATGAATGAACAAGGACATACTTATGGTAAGTAAAAAAAGGTAAAACCAGCCAAAAAAAATAAATCAAAATTAATCAGAACTTCTCCTAAGGTTGATGAGATGGTCCGCTGTAGAAGCTGCGGAAAACTTGAACATGCTGGGGTGTTGTGTGTCCTTTGTTCTTTTGGTAGGGATGGGAGAAGAACCAATGATTCCGTGAGAAAAATCACAGTGATTTGTTATTTCAAAGGTTTGCAAGTTAAGCATCAACATCTTATTTACCTAAAATCCGGGAAAAAATCATTTTGCAAGGGATTGCTGAAAAGAAATCTACCACCAATACAGTAAGTACAAAATACATCCAAATCTTGTGCTTCCTTCCAGTCCGCTCAATTCAAATGCTTTCTCTTCAAAATATTGAGGAAGACAAACCTTTTTTTTTTAAATATGACACCACAATATGATCTTTTTATCTATTAAAATATTGTGGATTGATACCCTGTGGAAAATTTGGAGTTGTTTAGATCGATTTTCTTTGATCAAAGATCAAGCTGACTATGATGTTAGAGGCCCCGAAGTACAATGCGAATGGCTCTTCTTATTGAGTTCTTCTTAACAATGGTCAAGCGGTACCTCTTCAAGTGTTGAAAGCTTACGTTTCTTCACCACCTCCAAGAAGAGTGTACATTTTTCCCTTACTTCAAAGAAAATCGTTTAACACAGCTGACTTTCCAATTTATCTTTGAAATTCTTTGAGTGATCAAGGAGCTGATATCACTAATACGATTTTTATCAACACCTTTCTTCTCAAGAACTCTCCAAAGGATATCTCTTGGAACCTTATCGTAAGCTTTTTCTAAATCAATAAAAATCAAATGCAGATTCTCCTTATTATCTCTGAACTTCTCAATCAAACCTCTCAATAAATGTATAGCTTCCATAGTAGACCTGCCAGGCATAAATCCAAATTGATTATGAGAAATTTTCGTGATGCATCTTAACCTATGTTCAATTACCCTCTCCCATAATTTTAAAGTATGACACATCAACTTAATTCCTCTATAATTTGCACACTCTTGTGCATCCCCTTTATTCTTAAAAATGGGGATCAAAATACTCTTCCTCCACTCCTCAGACATCTTTTTAGTTTTTAAAATAATATTAAAGAGTTTAGTAAGCCAAGAAACTCCCAAATCTCGTTTATCAAAGTAATTCACCCACCTATGTTGAATATTTTTTTCTAAGAAAATTACTTTTTGATTTTCATCTTTAATACACTTTACTGGAGTTAAATATTTATTTTTCTTTTCTCTTTTTTTGGCTAGTTTATACATATATTTTTCACTCTCTTTAGTATCTAATATATTATAAAGATTATTAAAAGCAGAATTTTTAGCATCACAGATCGTTCTTTTAGATTCCCTACGGGTCGTTTGATATTTTTACCAATTCTCTAAGCTTTTGCATTTAAACCAAACTTTATAACAAAACTTCTCATATTTTATCTTTTATTACACATTATTATTCCAACACCAACTATTTTTATTTATAAAAACTTTTTATTTTGATTTTCCAAGCACATCTTTTGCTACTTGTTTAATAGTGTTTATTAATTTATCCACATAACATTTATTTTTTCATGAATAACTCAAATTTTGAAATCTTGAATTTTACTCATAAAAATAATTTTATTTGTGTCTTTTAAGTTTTTCCATCTAATTCTACGACGATGAGTTCTAGTATTCTTTATTTTACAACTCTTAATCTTAAAATATAAAACTAATAAACGATATTGCGTACGTAAAATTTAACTTAAAATGACCTTACAATCTTTACAATCGCGAAGATCTCTTCTTTTCATAAGAAAATAATCAATTTGTGTTTTATTAGATCAATAACTGAGGATAATTTTAGAAAAAAAATTAAAGTTTACCTCATTGGAGTTTAGTTTGTGGAGGTGACTTAATTTGTAGCTTCATGGCCAATTATGTTAGAAACAGTAACCAATGCTTATGCATAACATTACTAATAATCTAATTCATATGCTCCCAAAGAGCATATCTATCATTAATAATAGAAAAAAGACGAAATATTGACATAGATGCCACTCAATTCCTATGTTTTTACATGTACAACACCCAAACTTCAGTTTTACCTATGGATGAAAAGGCATATTTTACATTTTAAAAGTTAAAATGGAGGTATTTTTTATGTTATAAGAAAGATTTGGGTTATATAAATGTAAAAAAGCAAACTTTAGGAATAAGATATGTAAATTCATAAAAACTGAATTCAAATGTATGTAAATGCCCCAAAAACATGTGAGCTTAGAATGGAAGCCTTAGTGATTAGGTACAGCTATCAGTTATTCCCTTGATTAACATTCAACAATTTTATCCTTGTAATGCCCATTAATTGGGAGTAGACACTAGACAGCTTGGTGACAACTGTTTTTCTTAATCTAACTTCCTAAACAAACTTGCATTAATGGATTATGATATAAAATTTAAACTTTTCTTGTCCTCGCGTCAATAGTTTTTTACATGCTAATTTTTAGTACTCATACGCCTGATTTAACTTGGTTCACCACATCTACTACTCATGACGCTCCTCAAAAAAGGATTATTAAATTTCATAGCAAATCTAAGAAGGCAAAAGCAGCACCATATAAAAGCAACCTTTGAACTATAAATTGAACAATCAAGTTCCTACGAGTTCCCCAACTTCATCAACTTCTACAAACAACCAGGATCTCTCACCCGTCAACTCCAATATTCATTTTTACAATCAATCAAAAGAAACTGCAGTAGCAAAATTATCAGTAGGTTCCAGATTGAGGTTGATCTCCATGATTCGAAACAAATGCACCACAAGATTCGCAGACGATCACAATCTATAATTCCATCCATGATTACACATCTCAAAAGCTAAAATAAAATATAACAAGAAAAGAAATCATTACATCATACCAAAAGCGAACTATTCCTCCCGAATAGTCGAACCGTAATCGAAACGCACACACACACACAACTCGAACGAAATCGGAACAGAACACAAGTGCCGGCTAACGAAACTAAAGACAACAACGAATCAAACATCCCTGAATCCAGTTAAACAAACCCTAAAAAGTGATACCCCGCAAATTCCCAAAAGAGGCAAAATCTAACAGCATCGACTACTGAAACTTACTTGCTATCGAAGCAATCCTCCGCAGAAAGATCGAAGAAGTTAATCAATAACGTGACTCACGTCGATCGAGAAGGATTGAGAGAGAGAGAGAGAAAATCGAGCGGAGGAGACACGGATTTTGAGAGTGACGGATAACTATAAAGCGGCGCGACCGTCCTTCCGCGTCCCAGCGTTGCGACGTGGATTTCGCTTATTGGATTCAATCAGAACGCATCGTGGCCGTTGGTTTTGGCGAGGTGAATCGGGTAAGATCATTAAAAACAGAATTTTTAGCATCATAGATCGTTCTTTTAAAATCCCTACGGACCGTTTGATATTTTTCCCAATTCTCTAAGCTTTTACATTTAAACCAAATTTTATAATAAAACTTCTTATATTTTATCTTTTATTGCACATTATTATTCCAATACCAAATATTTTTATTTATAAAAACATTTTCTTTTGATTTTTCAAGCACATCTTTTGCTACTTATTTAATAGTGTTTATTAATTTATCCCACATAACATTTGTTTTTTCATGAATATCTAAAATTTTGAAATCTTGAATTTTACTCATAAAAATAATTTTATTTGTGTCTTTTAAGTTTTTTCATCTAATTCTACGACGATGAATTCTAGTATTCTTTATTTTACAACTCTTAATCTTAAAATATAAAACTAATAAACGATATTGCGTACGTAAAATTTAACTTAAAATGACCTTACAATCTTTACAATCGCGAAGATCTCTTCTTTTCATAAGAAAATAATCAATTTGTGTTTTATTAGATCAATAACTGAGGATAATTTTAGAAAAAAAATTAAAGTTTACCTCATTGGAGTTTAGTTTGTGGAGATGACTTAATTTGTAGCTTCATGGCCAATTATGTTAGAAACAGTAACCAATGCTTATGCATAACATTACTAATAATCTAATTCATATGCTCCCAAAGAGCATATCTATCATTAACGATAGAAAAAAGACGAAAGATTGACATAGATGCCACTCAATTCCTATGTATTTACATGTATAACACCCAAACTTCACCCAAACTTCAAACAACACCCAAACTTCAGTTTTACCTATGGATGAAAAGGCATATTTTACATTTTAAAAGTTAAAATGGAGGTATTTTTTATGTTATAAGAAAGATTTGGGTTATATAAATGTAAAAAAGCAAACTTTAGGAATAAGATATGTAAATTCATAAAAACTGAATTCAAATGTATGTAAATGCCCCAAAAACATGTGAGCTTAGAATGGAAGCCTTAGTGATTAGGTACAGCTATCAGTTATTCCCTTGATTAACATTCAACAATTTTATCCTTGTAATGCCCATTAATTGGGAGTAGACACTAGACAGCTTGGTGACAACTGTTTTTCTTAATCTAACTTCCTAAACAATCTTGCATTAATGGATTATGATATAAAATTTAAACTTTTCTTGTCCTCACGTCAATAGTTTTTTACATGCTAATTTTTAGTACTCATACGCCTGATTTGACTTGGTTCACCACATCTACTACTCATGACGCTCCTCAAAAAAGGATTATTAAATTTCATAGCAAATCTAAGAAGGCAAAAGCAGCACCATATAAAAGCAACCTTTGAACTACAAATTGAACAATCAAGTTCCTACGAGTTTCCCAACTTGATCAACTTCTTCGAATAGGCATTTACAAACAACCAGGATCTCTCACCCGTCAACTCCAATATTCATTTTTACAATCAATCAAAAGAAACTGCAGTAGCAAAATTATCAGTAGGTTCCAGATTGAGGTTGATCTCCATGATTCGAAACAAATGCACCACAAGATTCGCAGACGATCACAATCTATAATTCCATCCATGATTACACATCTCAAAAGCTAAAATAAAATATAACAAGAAAAGAAATCATTACATCATACCAAAAGCGAACTATTCCTCCCGAATAGTCGAACCGTAATCGAAACGCACACACACACACAACTCGAACGAAATCGGAACAGAACACAAGTGCCGGCTAACGAAACTAAAGACAACAACGAATCAAACATCCCTGAATCCAGTTAAACAAACCCTAAAAAGTGATACCCCGCAAATTCCCAAAAGAGGCAAAATCTAACAGCATCGACTACTGAAACTTACTTGCTATCGAAGCAATCCTCCGCAGAAAGATCGAAGAAGTTAATCAATAACGTGACTCACGTCGATCGAGAAGGATTGAGAGAGAGAGAAAATCGAGGGGAGGAGACACGGATTTTGAGAGTGACGGATAACTATAAAGCGGCGCGACCGTCCTTCCGCGTCCCAGCTTTGCGACGTGGATTTGGCTGATTGGATTCGATCAGAACGCATCGTGGCCGTTGGTTTTGGCGTAGGCGAATCGGGCTCGAATTATTTTTTATTTATAAAAATTATATATCAAACTAAATAAAATTAAATATAACGAGCTATAAGTCGATTTCAAGCTGAAATTGACCTTTTGGGTTATCTTGTTTTGATTTCGAGCTGAATGGAGCCGATTACGATTTGGAAAAGATCGAAATAACGCGAACAAAATCAGCCACAAGCCAATTTCAATCAGAACTCAATCTATTCGAACAGATTTCAAATATGTCTCTATTCAGCTTGAAATGGGCTCTTTAACAACCCTAGTTATTAATTTTATTTGGGCAAGTAAAGGAGTATCACACTATCTTTTTATATGATTATATATCTAGAATTTAAAATTTAATATTTATTTATATAATACTTAAATCGTTAATATTAAAATAAAATTACTACTATTATTAAGTATTTAAGAATAAAATGCGAATATTATATTCTGAATATGTTGTAACATATATTTAAATTTCTCATTTTTATTTTGTTTATAACCTCTCATTAACAAGTGTTTGTATATAAATGTTAATAGATTTATATTTATACACTCATTAATTAAAAGCATAAATATAAGCATATAAATGTTTTTTATAGAATCATTAATAATCTTTCTTTGTATACTCACTTTATCATGAATTATGTATCCTACACAATATGTACCAACCAATGGTTATTGGTCCCCATAAATTTGAGAAGTTTAATGCAAGACTTTTATCCTTAAATTTTGTAGGAATCATTTATATTACCGAACTTATCGTAGACATATCAATACAATTAGGGCTGTCAAAATGGCTCGTTGTTTGCGAACAACTCGTGTTCGACTCGTTAAGAAGCTCGTGTCGGCTCGTTAATTTCGTTCGATAAGTTAACGAACCGAACACAAACTAAGATGTGTTTGTTCGTGTTCGGCTCGTTTTGGCTCGAAATACTATTCATCACAATAGATATAAATATATTTTATTCAAAATAAATAAAAAAAAATTGATATATATATATATATATATATAAAAAGTATATATTAAGTAGTATTTTAAAAAAATCTAATTGACTACAAGGCTACAAAATTTATAACCAATTAAAATATTGATTAAGAAAATTGAATAAAAATTATTAAATTATATTCAAATGATGTTTTAATATAAATAATAATTTTTAAATCTTGCTCAAACCCTTATTGTCTTATGGCTACATGATTAGGGTTGTTAAAAGGACTCTTTGTTCGTGAACAGCTAGTGTTCGGCTCGTTAAACAAACGAGCCCAACACGAACACACTTTTTGAGCTCGAAAAATAAACGAGCCGAACACGAGTTGAGCATGACTCGCTTGTGTTCGGCTCGTTTGCAACCCTAAATACAATCATAATCATTTCTCTCAAGATATTTGAGAATTGGGCTGACATATCAATACAATTTGTACAACCCACGGTTTTCACTTTAAGAAAATGAGATATACCTTTTTATGCATAGATATAATGACATATATGTAAAAATTGAAGTGCAAATGTTAGATATATAAATACATAGGAATTAGCCGGTAAATATGTAGATCTTCCCCATTTTACTTGTTTTATTTCAAAAAGACCCTTTCCATTTACAGGCTCCCAATTCATTAAACTGCAGGATAAAATACTACATCCACCTGGATCTAAACTAGAGGAAAAGGGGCATTTACATTTTACATATTACATACATACCACCCAATTCTTACGCATTTACATATTTAAGACCTAAACTTTACTTTTTATACATTTATGCCATCCAAACATTTCATATCACATCAAAAACACTACCTTTTCAACATTTTAGAAAGTGAGATACAACTTTTTCATGAATATGTAAGATGACATAGAAGTAAAAAAAAACTAAACTTTAGGTGTTAGAGATGCAAATACATAGGAATTAAGTGATATGTATGTAAATCTTCCAGTAGAATTAAGAACAACTCTCTCATGTTGTCAGAGATGTTCTTAGGTATGATGACATCAATGTGCTCTAACTAGCTTAGGCGCCCATTCCCGCCATAACATTTTCAAGTCACCAATCCTGATTTTCGAGTCGGCTCCTCTCCTCTTGCTCCGCTCTTTTGCCTTCTCATTCGGCGCAATCAGAGGGGTTTGCGGAGCTTCAATCTCATCATCATCAACAATACTCTGCACCATTTGGAGCACCTCGCTCATCTTCGGTCTCAACTTTGGCTGTCGGATGAGGCACTTATTGGCCACTGCGGCGAGCTTCATGGCAGACTTTGTTGAGAAGTTCGCTCCCATCCTTGGGTCGGCAATCAAGTGGAACTTCTTTGCATCAGCCATGTACGGCTTTACCCATTCAATGAGTTTTTGCTCACCCTTGGGCCGATTTCGATCCATCGGCCGGCGGCCGGTTATCAGTTCATAGAGAACGACACCGTAGCTCCAGATATCGCTCTTCGTCGTGAGACGACCGGTTTGAATATACTCGGGAGCAGCGTAGCCGATTGTACCCACAACCTGTTGGATTAATTACTGAAAGAATCAGATTCAATACACACTGCCTCCAACTTTAGTTTACTTGTTTTAACATTATTTCATTGGGAAATTTACATAAGCAGCATATAATTCTTGTTTATTTACATATCTCACATCTGAGCCTATGCATGAAAGGGTGTGTTTCACATTTTAAAAGTTAAATTAGTGGTATTTTTTTAGGTGATATGAAAGATTTGGATGATAAACATGTAAAAAGTAAAGTTTAGATGATAGATACGTAAATATAGAGAAATGTTGTGCTATGTATGTAAATACCCCTAAAAAATAAAACATAAAAGTGAACCCAAATGGTACTTGAGATTTACCAATCATTTCAGAATAAAATTAGAAAACACTGCAACAATTCAAAAGTAATACCCATATATAATATGTAACATTGCCAACATAAAATTAAGCTACTGTAACATATCATTTTAACTGTACTCACCACAGTTGAAACATGACTCAATCCTTCTGTGGGTCCTTGTCTGGCCAAGCCAAAGTCTGATAATTTTGCAGTCCAACGGTCATCCAATAAAATGTTGGATGTCTTGAAATCTCGAAAAATAATCTATCAAAAGAATATAAATATAAGTTATTAAAAATAACATTATGAATAATATATGTTTGAAAAAAATGGCTTTCATATTAAAGAGAATAGGAAAAAAAATGTAAAAATTAATGTGATGGGGAGCACAAAGGTTTCATACAAGGCTTCCACCTTGGAAAAGCTATTGCATCAGAAGTCCCGATGCATTTTTGCATCAAGACACCAATCAGGGTCTGCTTGTACACGTGGCAGACCCCACCGTGGTAAAAAAATATATATAATTTAATACATAGGTCTGCCTGTCTGTACGCGTGACAGACCCTGATTGGAGTCTTGATACAAAATTGCATCAAGACTCCTGATGTATTAATTTTTCTCCACCTTGTGCGTATATGTTTTTTTTTTTATTATTATTTTTATTTCCTATTTAAAAACATTTTTAGAACATTCTCCATCATAGCATTCCTTCTAAATAAGAAGAGAAAAAAAATTTAAACATCTTTAGGCAAAAGTGACAATAATTAATACAAGTAAATTGCCAACATAGTCTCCTAACTATTTACATATGGTTATTTTAGTTCTAGAGTTAAACCAGTTCCCAGACTCTTTTAATGGGGCTAAAATACTCCATACTGATGACTATGTCAACTTGTATTAGAAAGGCCTAGGAACTAAATTGGCATTTTTATAAACTCTAGGACTGAAATGATCCTCGATAAAAAGTCACAGGACTACTTCGATATTTTTCTCTTATTTTTATATGCATAATTTTGCTCTAGACAAGTTAACTAAGTCGTTATAAGAGCCTAAATTGAATTCAACATGTCGCTAATAGTGAAAGGGCTTCAATTGGCTACAAATCAACCTTGCAAAGCCTGAGTTGCCCAAAGCCACAAGTCATCTAGCACAAATCCCACCAATTCATCTAAAGAGATAACCGTTACTAGATCCTCATTTTTTATGATATCGAGCTTCCCTAAGGGACTGACAAAGTTTCCCATCAATCATGGCAATTCACTCAAAGAATTTGACAACTCATCTTGAGTACTTACCAATCAACTAAAAGTTCTCACATGAAGACTTGCTAGACGTTTTCGTCCTTGATCCAAAACTTGCCTAAAATTCCCAACTAAGTCCAAGGAGACTGCTACACAACTAATGAAACCAAATCCAATCAATGTATTTCTTCATGTAATTGTATCGTCTAGCTAATTTAACAGTAACAACCGTGATCTTTGCCAAAAAATTAGGGGTGCATCGATAAGATTTCTCGTCCAATACTTGCGGTAGCGACATTTTCTTGCTAATTCACCATTGACAAGCTATTGTGAACCTTTAATTTCTATTATATATATTTAAAAAAAAAATTAATTAGGGTTATTTTCTATTTAGAAACTGTTTATATTTTGTATTTGTTGTTTTGAGACTTTAGAAATAGTTTTCTAGATTTGGCAACTTTATTTTCTGATTTTCTACTCCACAGAGTGTTGTATCATCTTCCTTTTGCAAATGGCATCTGAAGTTTGTTCCAAAACAGTTGGTGGATCCCCTTCGGCAACCGTGCCTCGTCGGACCGGTGTTTTGTGGTTCTCTTCACTGTTTTCAGCCTGGATAGCCTCCAATCACCTCTTGTTCCCTTCCTAATATCACCCACAAGACAAATTCTCATTCCCTTGTTATTTCACAACCACCTACATGCTAAATCAATTTCCTAAACACCTTCAAGGAACCCTAAAATGGTGTCACCTTAGTTCAACAAAGCACATGAAATTTAAGTAGAAACTCTATCACATCAAAGTTTCGCACCCAAAATTTTTAAAATTCTCCTCACAATCTTTTTTCTCTAAATCACTTTCTCTGCACTCCTGATATGTTTCTATGAACAACATTGGATCCAACAATTTCAGTTAATATCAGTTACAATGAATATGAGTGAACAAAAAGAATTAGCACCATTATGATTACTGTTACAAAAAGTATCAATGGACAGATGAGACATCTAATAGAGCAGTCTCAGCACAACTAAACAAGTACTCATTGGAATAAATGCTCTCAACTAAGTGATTAACTCATTATATGTCTTCCCCTTATGAAATACCATACAGTATTAAAATATTACCGTAAGTGATTAACTCATTATATGTCTTCCCCTTATGACATACCATATAGTATTAAAATATTACCGCACAATTCTTATGTATTTACATATCTAACATCTAAAGTTTGATATTAACATTTATAACACCTTGGTGCCATATACCTACGCATTTCACTTTTAAAAAGGTTATGATTATGTTATTTTTGATGTGATGTTAAAATTTTAAGTGGTATGTTGTAAATATGAATGTTTAGGTGATAGATATATAAATACATAAGAATTGTGCTGTATGTATGTAAATACCCCAAAAGAAAATAAAGTACCTGAAAGTCCATCCCTTCATGCAAGTATGTCAATCCACGAGCTGCGTCAAGAGCTATTTTCAACCTCATGGACCATGTTAGAGGAGCAGATATTCTTAGTGATAAATGATATTCAACACTTCTATTTGGCATATATTCATAAACAAGCAGTCTCTGTATTCCTCTTTCATCATCTTCAGCACAATAGCCCAATAATCTGACAAGATTTGGATGCTCAACCACTCCTAAAACATTTACCTCAGTCAACCATTCCTTATGTCCCTGAAAATGCAATGAAAGTAAATTCATTAAATAAATTAATTATCTCAATTTGATGATTTTTCATAAGATCATAGAGATATGAAGAGAACAGTTAACAATGAACACTAAATCTGGAAAAAATCAACCACATTTTTACAACGAGAAAAGTGTCAAAATAGTTTGTTTAATTGAGGTCATTTTAGTCTCGGATTCTAAAACAATGTCAAATTACTCACCAATTTCTTCAAATTGAGGCTAAAATAATTCTCTGTGGGGACTATTTCACCCCATATTAAAAAAGTCTAGAACTTAATTGGCACTCTTATATAGAATATGAGACTAAAATGACCCCATGCAAAAAGATCAGGGGACTATTTTGACATTTTTCTCTTATAAATCTTATAGCAAAAACCAGTGTTTCCTTTTATGAATTGATGGAAGAGGATTGAGATGTACTAACATGCATGCAATTAGAATACATGTCCAAATCCTACTATCTTAAGTCTACCATTCTTCTTCATAAACCTTCGATGTATCTACCCATCTAATATTGCATTTTTTATCTATCGTTTTACATATCCAACCCACATAAAGTTTATTTTCAACCACTTCAACTTCGACAAATATTGCTCGACTCACTTTTTTATTTGTTAATTTCTTATTTCCTTATCAGTTTTCCTGCATCTTTATATCAACATTATCATTTCCACTATGCCTAATTCAGCTATCAATACATTTTTACATATCCATAACATCATAACATCATAACAAACATAGAGTACTACATTTTAACCGCACAATAGTAACTTAATAGCACAAATTTTCCAAGGAGTTAAAACAATAATTAAGTATTATTATGTAACAATCACAGATTAAAACCACTTAAGAATTCAATGTGATATAAAAGCTAATTAGTTCTACACATATTCATAATTACAACTGTCAGAAGAATATTGCATCTGTCTCTATGCCATTTTTGTCTTGAGTTGTATTGTGCTATCAAGTAAAATTGTTGATTGCCCAAAAAAAATCATATATAGATTGATGTTGGCAATACTGTAACACTGATGAATCTTTGAAAAAAAATTTCATGGCTTAAATATGAGCTGATTTATAACTGAAAAAAAAATGATTAAACGTCAAATTATTATGTAAGAAAGCTAAAATTCATAAAAACTGGTTTTCAGTAAGCTACCTACACTATCATTTTAAACAACATGCTTTGTGATTATCTGCTAGACAGACCTTCTCTTACAATTACTATTCCAAAAATCCTCAAACTGCTTCTAGAAGCAGAGGCCTGATTAACATAAAAAGTCAATAAGCTAATCCCAACAATTCAACCATGCTGATTAACAAATAAATAAATAACAATTATAAAAGGGGCATTTACATACATAACACCCCATTCCTATGTATTTACATATCTAACACCTAAAATTTGCTTTTTTACATTTATTCCACCTAAATCATTCATTTGCCATAAAAAATACCATCATTTTAACTTCTCAGAAGTGAAATACACCTTTTAATGCATAGGAAAGATGACATATATGTAAAAATTAGTTTAGGTAGGTGTTAGGTTTGTAAGAGCATGGGAACTTAATGGTATGTATGTAAATTTTTCTTTAAGAAAAAATATGGGTTAGTACATCTAGATTGTCATTTCTGTCAATATTATAATTTTGAACTCGGGTAACCTAATATTTTGCAAGATTATCATCATGATCCCAAAATTTATGACATTAAGAGAAATATCATATAGAAAATAATCAAAAAAGAAAGCTTGCATCTCAAATTTCCCTTAATTTTATAAACGTCCGGCAGCATACAGAGATCATAAATTAAAAAGTGTAACAAAATTTTCTTTTGAATTACAAAATCATAAATTACAAAGAGAAATTCATGTAAAGTAATCTTGCCTGCAAGCCCTTGCGGCTTAATTGTTTAACCGCAATTTCAATGGTCATATGTGGATCCTCATGTCCCTTGACTACACCCCTATATACACATCCAAATCCGCCTTCTCCGAGCATCAACGAGCGACTAAAATTCCTTGTAGCTGCTTTTAGCTCTTCAAAGGAAAATTTCCTCAGATTATTTGGCTTTTGAGACAAACTTGGAAAAGGAGTTCTTCCGACCGATTCAGCACTCAAACTCGAAACATTCATGGAGTTTGATTCGGATCCTGATTTCTTCGTATCATGATCAGTCGATGCAGTGCTGGTGGAAAGACCTGATGTAGACTTCCTCACTGGGGGAGTTTGCTTGCCCTCCCCGTTTGAGAATTGAAAACACTTCATACTTCCAGTTTGAAATCTAATCTCAAAATTCTACCTATTCCAAACACTGAGAGCAAATGAACAAAGATAAAAAAGAACATGAACACACGAAAAAATACGAGCCCAATTGATGGCTATGCCATGCTGCAAATTTTACTATGTAGTGGAGAATTACAATCATAAAGATTATGCCCCACTCTTTATAAGGTAAGAACTTGAGTTAGCCAAAAATATCGCAAGTCTTCAAAACATCCTTAATGAAATAACCAGCAAACATGCGCTACAAAATATTCTTTTTAGAGCAAAACACAGGCCCTACAACTTAATATTTTTGCAAACGAAACACAAAATATTCTTTTTCGGCCCTACAACTCTTTAGGGGCTGTTTGGTAACCGATTTAAGTATCTTGGCAAACACAAAAAAGTAAACTTTTTTACAGAATTTACTAAAGCTACTAGAGCCATTACCATACAGCCCCTTCAGATCATTCGGTTGCTTATAGATTAAAAACACGTCATGGAAAGGGATTTTGACTTCTAAGTACATCAATCAAAGTAACTAAATCAAGAAAAATTCATCAATTTTCAATTTTTCCAGAACCTAACAATCAAATAAGCCCTTAAATGCATTGACAAGATTAAACAAATTAAGGTTAAGAAAGTGCAGGCAACTAATCTTGGTCCAATCATCACGCAGCAAATGGATGAATATATATTTATTTCACTAAAAAACTTCAATCCCCCAAATAAAATAACCAGCAAGGGAATGAGAATTCCACCTACTTCTTTCCAACACACAACCCTCTGCTACGCTTCCTTTACAAACTCTAACCAAAGAAGCAAAAAAACTCTAAAAATCACAAAAACCTCTTCAACCCATTAAACAAATTAGAGCAAAAAACCTAAACAAACTGGTTTTAAATCAATCGCCGCTTGCCAGGCAACCATTCTCCCTCAGAATCTTCTTCGCCAACTCAATCTAAATCCCAACGACTCCTTACTTAGAAAAAAAAAAACCCTAAGCTGATGTAGAAAACAATCAAAACTAACCTTTAAAGTCAGATTGATTGGGAGAAGATGAAGAAGGTTCGATCCTCTTGAGAGGGATTCCTCGACGGTTAAGAAAATCATGGACAGCGAGGTTCGCATTTATGGGATGATGAAAGTCAAGAGAGGATTGTAAGGGGGCAGCTGGGATTCTGACCAACCAATGAACACCTAAGCTGCGGAGAATTATAAAAGAGGCGTGGGAGAAGCATAGGTGTGAAGGGAAGGAGAGCGAGGAGCTCCAATGGCCGGAAAAGTCGGCTCGGTTTAAAAAAAACAGTTTTGTTTTCTTTGTTTCAGATTCCCACTCTTAATTTAGGGTAATTGCACGCGTGGCTGTTAAATATTAATTATTTATAAAAGCATCATTTTTTTTAATTCTATTTGTTTAATAGTTCTTGTCTGAATATTAATATCTAGAATAATTTTTGTTTAAAATTCAACATATTTTTGGGTAATAGAGTAAGAAACATCATGAGTTTTTTCGTGAAAAACTTAGAAATGTGAAAAAACTATGAGTTGGAGATTACATATACTTGTCATGTCGCACGGATGGAAAAAAAGTTACATAGTTACTCGAGTTACAATGATCGTGTACAAAAGTTTGTGTTCCATGATATGAAGCAATCGCATTGGGGAATAGTTGTTGGAGCTTCGATGCGTCGTCTTTGAGGTTGGCAGGATGTTTGAGAAGATGCAATTGAGCTAGTCAATTTGACTAAAAGTTTGCTACAATAGGACTTATTGATGATTTTTAATTGAATATTGAATTTTTCTTGCTCTACAATTTGTCTCGAAATTTATGTCATACCCCGAGAATTACGTTAGTTGATAAAAATTTATTGATAGCTTATCAATCTTTTTTTTTTTTAATTAAATTCTCAGTGATTTGATCTAGAAGTACAAATACAAAGTTCATTTTTTTTTTATATTTGACATATTATTAATTTTTATTTAGTAGCATTTACATCTATACTACACAATTTTTATATTTTAACATCACATAAAAAATATCACTCTTATTGATTTTATAAAAGTGAAATACACATTATTAGGCTTAGATTTATAACTCAAAAATGTTATAAATGTAAATGTCAAATATATATAAATACTAAAGAACTGTGTTTTATGTATGTACATTCAAGTTGATGTATTTATGAATGGTTGATGTTATATGCAAAAATTATCCTTTCATTTATAAGTTATTTTAAAAAATATTTTATATGAAATAATTAATTTTTTGTAATTGTTGTAATTTGTAAAAATATAGTTAAAGTGTATGAGTTTGAGATAGAGTTATTAAATGAGATTAGTTTCTATTAAGGGTCTGTTCGGAGCAGCTGCAACTTATTGAATATTCTACTGATAAGCTGATTAAAAATAATCTGTTGATAAGCTAGGTGCGATGACTGTTACAATTTTTTTATTTTTTTTGAAAAGTCAGATCACTGTTAGAAAGCTGCCGCCACACCTGAATATATGCGGTGTGAAAACACTGTTTTTAGCATTTTGAAAACGCATGAGCTGTCAAAACGTTTTCAGCATTTTGAAAACGCATAAGCTTCCAAAACGTGGTTTACCAAAACAAGACAGACCAAACAGGTCAGGTGTGTTTTCAAAACGTCACCGCACAAAATAAACTGCCCCAAACAGGTCCTAAATTTGGTACGCTTCAATAAAAATCAAGATGTGTTTAAATAAAATTTAAAAAGATATTCTGAACTAAATAATGAAGATGTGTTTAAATAAAATAGTAAATATAAAGTAATCCAAAGGGCTTGAAAATGAAATAAATATTATATTTTTGAAAATTGCGCAAATAAATTTGAAAATATTTTTCCAAAGAATTTATTGGGGGAATCCGCGATTTTTTATAACCTGACAAGTGGGAAAACACCGACGCCAAAGCCATTCACGAGACGAAGCCTAAAACGTCTATTATGATACTTCTGTCAACACGCCAAAGCCATTCACGAGACGAAGCCTAAAACGTTTTATATCCAAACTATCCTCAAATTTGAACAATATTTACTTATCCGCAAATATCTTTCATTTACATTTTATATCCAAATTAAAAAATTAAGACATTTGTAATTTGTAAATATAGGTGTATTTTTTTGCATACCACACAAAAACTTTTGTATTTACATATGTAATGTTAAGCGCTAGAGCTCGATACACGCCTCCCGATCCCGCTCCCACACTCACGATCGCGAAACAATCGCGACCCACTCCCCTTGGCGTCGATTCCCGAACCGTTCCTGTCTTCTGTCTCCTTTAAGTTGTGAACAGAAAAACTATCCTCAAGGTTTCAGAAGTCACGATTTTTTGTATTCTTCTTCGGGCTTTCTCGGGATAGAGAAAGGAAAGTGCGAGAAGTAGTTCCTTACGGCAAAAGGAAGAAGGAAGAAGAAAGAAGAAGAAGATTTGTTCTCCCTTGTTTCTTCTTGGTGGCTTGTGGCATAAAAGAAATTGAGTTTATTTCTTTTGTAAGTTTATCTTCTTCGGTGTATCTCGGTGTAAAGTTTCTTCGATGTATAAAGATAGAGAAGAAGAGTGAGCAACGAAACGAGGGTAAGAGATTCCTTATGTAAGTCGATGCGATTGACTAGTGTAAATTCCTCAAATAGTAAAGTCTTCTGCAACTCCGTGGACGTAAGCATTGTGTTACTATTTTCTAGTGTGAATTTTCTCGTTCTATTTTTCGCTTCAAAGATCGTATGTCTGTTTGATTTATATATATATATCACATCAACTGGTGTATATCTCACAACAAATGGTATCAGAGCTTTGTTCGGATATGAGGAAGAATGATTGCTGCAGATGAAGTGAAGGTACAAATTTTGGTTATTGGATGATGCAAATAGAGGACTACCTTTATGGGACTACCTCTATGGGAAGAAACTTCATCTTTCATTATTGGGGAAAAGACCCGAAATAAATGGATGAGACTGAATGGAATCTGTTGGATCAACAAGTTCTGGGGGTTATTCAAGTAACCTTATCGAAGTCCATTACACACAACGTCGTCAAGGAGAGGACGATTGCAGATCTCATTGCAGCCTTATCAGGTATGTATGAAATATGAAAAGCGTATGTATGAAAAGCCATCGACGAATAACAAGGTGTACTTGATGAAGAAGTTATTCAACTTGAAGATGACATAATGTGTTTCTGTTGTTTAACACCTGAATGATTTCAATATTATCACAAATCAATTGTCATCTCTTGAAATTGATTTTGATGATGTGATATGCACGCTAATATTGTTGGTATCATTGTCAAATAGTTGTGAAGTCATGATGATGACAGTTAGCAGTTTTGTTGGGAAATCTAAACTGAAATGTGATGATATTCGTGATTTGATTTTGGTTGAGGAAGTTCGCAGGAAAGATTCTGGCGAGATCTCAGGTACGAGTTCGACACTCAATGTTAATTTCAGAGGGAGAACATGACAGGAACTCAAGTATAGGGAGATCAAAATCAAAGTTTAGTAAGCAGGAAACCTGTTGGAATTGTGGCAAGTCTGACCACATAAAGAGGAATTACATGAATCACAAGAAGATGGAGAACGATATCACAAATGTGGTATATGAAAAAATACGGGATGTACTATTGCCCTATTGCTGGCAGTTCATAGTTTTGTTGATGATGGAAGTGAAGAGGAGAGTGAGTCTGGGACACTCATTCCTATTGTTCCACATACAGATAATGTAGAACCACAGAGTTATGAGGAAATATTATAAGATGAAAGTTCGAGCAAGTGGGAGCTGGCAGAACTTCCACCAGGGAAGAAGACATTACACAATAAGTGGGTGTACCAGGTGAAGACTGAGTACTGACAGTAAAAGGTATAAGACCAGACTTGTTGAAAAAGAATTTCAGTAGAGGCAGGATATTGCCCATGCAGTGAGAGTTGTAAGCAGAGACAAGAGTAACCCAGGAAATAGCTTGGAGGTGCAAAACTATGTTGACCATGTTGATATGTTGACTGATGGTGTTACTCTTGAGAAATTGAAGTTGTGTACAACTTCAGTTGGTCTTCTGGAGTGAAGACAGGGCTTTGAGTTGCCGAGGTGGAGGATTCAAGATGGAAGATTCAAAATGGAGGATTCATGTTCGAGGATTTATGTTTGAAGAAAAGGGCAACAATACCAGTGGATGATATCAGTTTGAAGAAGAAAACATTGTAGTAGGTGTATCAGTCTCCAAGTGGGAGATTGTTAAGCACTGGAGCCCGATCCACACCTCTCGATCCCGCTTCTGCACTCCAGATCGTGAAATAGTCGCAACCCGCTCCCCTTGGCGTCGAATCGCGAACCGTAGGCGCCAACGTCTGCTGCGAAGCGAATCGCTTCGTCCTGCGAACCTTTTCCGTCTTCCGTCTCCTTTTAAGTTGCGAACAGAAAAGCTCTCCTCAAGGTTTTAAAAGTCACGATTTTTTGTATTCTTCTTCGGGCTTCCTCGGGATAGATGAAGGAAAATACAAGAATTCTTCTTCGGGCTTCCTCGGGATAGAGGAAGGAAAATACAAGAAGTAGTTCCTTGCGGTAGAAGGAAAAAAAAAGAAGAAGAAGATTGTTTTCTCTTGCTTCTTCTTGGTGGCTTGTGGCGGAAGAGAAATTATGTTTATTTCTCTTGTAAGTTTATCTTCTTCGGTGTATCTCGGTGTAAAGTTTCTTCGGTGTATCTCAGTGTAGAGAGAGAATAAGATAGAGCAATGAAGTGAGAGTGATAGATTCCTCTTGTTAGTCGAGGTGATCGACTGATGTAAATTCCTCAAGTAGTAAAATTCTCTGCAACTCCGTGGACGTAGGCAATTTGCCGAACCATGTAAATTTATGTGTTCCGCTGTGTTAACTGGTGTGAATTTTCTTGCTCAATTTTTCGCTTCAAAGATCGTTCTCCTGTTTGATTTATATACCACATCAACTGGTGTATATCTCACTTCTCCTGTTTGATTCATGTAAATTTATGTGTTCCGCTGTGTTAACTGGTGTGAATTTTCTTGCTCAATTTTTCGCTTCAAAGATCGTTCTCCTGTTTGATTTATATACCACATCAACTGGTGTATATCTCACAACATGTAACATTTAAACTTTCATGTTTATATGAAAATATGTTTATCACTAATTCTTTAAAATTGAAATACACATTTTAAGGGTCATAAATATAAATATGAAAGTTTTTAGGAGTTAGATGCATAAATACATAAGCATTTATGTAAATTTCCCTAATTATGATGTAGGGCTTCCGTAAATATAAATTAG